GTTCGAGAGGAGAGGGAGTCGCGGACTGTTTCGCAGCAGTGTTTTTTTATTGGGTGCACAGATTTACTCAAAGACACGCATGGTCCTGTGCGCGTTTATGGTGTTGGGTACATGGCTCGTTGAGGCTGCGGCTCAGCCACAACCACAACACGGTTTGGAGCGGCTGCGAGCGGCTCCTCATACAAAGCGCCGCAGATGCTCCCGGAAACAACGGCGGCCGCTTTGTAATGAGGGGAGACGCTCGCAGCAGCATCCACAGGGTTTGTGGTTGTGGCTGAGCGCGCCAGCCTCAACGTGGCCATGTAACCCTAACACCATTAATACGCGCACAGGACATGCGTGGTCTTTTGAGTAATCTGTGCACCAATAAATACACTGCTGCAGGAAACAGGTCGCGGTCTCCATCTTCATCTTCGAAGCGCGATTAAAAGCCCTTCTAAATAAAGCTCTGGATTACTTCATGTTTGCTTTGCATTAAAAGTTTTGTTTTTGAGCCCAAAAATGTAATATGTTGGTGTAACAGATTAAACAGATTTAGGAGCCAGGGAAAATGGCTGAAATGATGCATTTCAGTCTTTTTTGACCCATTTCTCATCCCTGTAACAAACAATAGTATTGTCCGTGTCCCACCTCCCTCACTTGACACATGTTTAGTTACTCTCTTGTAATGTAGACTATGGCATATTATTTTATTGTTGATTGAAACTGCATTTTCCTGTTCCCTCTACAGTATTTGTCTTCCACATCACTGTATTAAACTAGGAGTCGGCAACCTGCGGCTCTGGAGGCGCATTGCGTCGCTGTCCTTCTATAGATAGGAAAAAAAAAACGTTCTTAACGTTTTAAATGCTGTAAAAATCGGCATAAGATAATATGCAATTTAAACATTTCTCGTCAACGCGCATGGTCGCTGTGCTACGTTTATGGAGGGACCATGGTCACGTTGAGGTTGTCGCGCAGCAGCCGACACACACGGTTGGCGCGGACTCGGACTCACAGCCGCTGGACGCGGACGGCAAGCTGCTCATATACAATGCTGGCGCGCAGATGCCCCGGAACACTGCGGCGCTGAGGTGGCGGAATCCCCTTTCGAGGTACTTCCGGCGGTTGCTCCCTGCGGATACGCGGGCCACCGGCTCAAACAATTACAACGGATTTACACTTCTCACAAACTTGTGTTTTGTCTGAGGCAGACAGACCGGCCCCAATATGGGCAATCGGCCCTTTGGGCATTGCCCGGTACGCCCGATTGGCCAAGTCCAGCCCTTGTTCTGGCTGGCATCCTTGTGCTTGGACTACTTAGTACGGAAAGTGATGCACACGTAAACGGGTGGGTGGGGCCGAAGTGTTTTGTTAGACGCCCTTGCCCTTTATTACCAGCAGTCTCGCTGCATATACTGTGACGTAATAATTCTCTAAACACAGTACTAGAGAATGGCAACAATCAGAACGGGATTGAAGAAATCGTGTTCTCTGGCATCCCTATGAAAGTGAACTGAGTTCACTTTTTTGCACTTTTCTAGAGGCTCCAACTACACAACAATAGGCATTTAAGGGCACAATAAAAGTGGATTTTTCAGGTGATATGTCCCCCTTTTTACGACTCTTTTTCGCCACAGAGTCAGAGCTAATTCTTGACAGTGCAATGCATAACAAATCATTACATCAATTGAATGTTCACCTCACTTAAATCCCCTAACCAACTTAAATAGAGGCACCTGGTGTTCATCTATCCCCCCCCCCAGTAATCATTACAGCAACCAGGATAATCCCCGCAGCACAACAGAGAAGTTTAAATGTTGTGGGAGGAAATACAATATCACTTATACACACCCCATTATCCATGGATTCCCACTGCAGATTTTCCAAGACATGGCTGTCCACCGATACTAACCAAGAGCCCACTCCATCCAAAACGACAACCGTGTTGCCCCCGATAGACTCTGGAGATGCTATGAATTACTGCTGCTGAGCTCAGGGAATGCTGTACATGGGGCTACGGGTTATTAGATCATATTTTTTTTTTTTTTTTTTCTCTCAGGCGCTTCATGGGGTGTGTATAATCGTTTAAAACAAAGTACTAATGTACGTTTTATCAGTTTGCAACAAGTCCTGGGGGTAACAACTAGGAAGTTGTTTTGGCCCAAAAATTACGTAATGTATGCAGCAAAAACTAATACTGCTCTTCCCCCTCGGGCTACATCTGCAGTGTCAAAGGATATCTATAGCTCTTAGCTAAAACACTTGTCAGGCTCGGGCCAGATATTTTACTTTCAAGGGAAATCACTGTAAACTTCAAAGACCGAAAAAATAGTTACAGAGATAATGTTTCATACCTCAGATACCAATGCAAATCAATTGAAAGACCTGAAGACTGCTCTTCATATACTCTTGTGAGTAAAGAGTTCAGATCTTGAGTTATTTTGAAAATGTGAATGGGCACACATTTAGTCTTCTATTCTTCACTTTCCCACTGTTGTTTCCACAGGAAGTTCCACTTACCGCATTTTACTCATGTTGATAAGAAATACTTGTTCAAAGGCCATCTCTTTTTCAGTGGTTTTAATGAACTTACTCATGCATGATTTTTGATTAAATTTCAAAACAGATGTATGACTTTCAACTCACACCTCCGGGAGAGTTTCTCCCAGGTCCCGGCGTGAGGAGGGGGACATGGAGGTCCGAGTGGACCATGTTCTCTGCCTCAATCGCCGATGCGGCGGCTCGTAGCTGTGGTCGCAAGGTCTCTAGGTGCTGGTCCCGGCGGCAACCCCCGAACCCGGTGGTGGACTCCGGCAGTAAGGGATGCTGTCAGGCTGAAGAAGGAGTCCTATCGAGCCATGATGGTTCGTGGGACTCCTGAGGCAGCTGTCCAGTACCGGCAGGCCAAGCGTGGCCGCGGCCCGGGCTGTTGCAGAGGCAAAAACCCGGGACTGGAGGAGTTCGGAGAGTCCATGGAGCATGACTATCGGTCGGCCTCGAAGAGATTCTGGCAAACCATCCGACGCCTCAGGAGGGGGAAGCAGTTCTTTGCCAGCACCATGTACGGTGCGATCGTGTGGAGAGCTGCTGACCTCGACTGGGGGATATTGTCGGGCGGTGGAAGGAATACTTTGAGGTTCTCCTCAATCCCCCCGTCACGTCCTCCGTTACAGAGGCAGAGGCTGAGGATGTGGGGCGGGTACATCCTCTCCCTGGCTGAGGTCACCAAGGTGGTTGGTAGCCTCCATGGTGGCAAGGCTCCGGGTGTGGATGAGATCCGCCCTGACTATCTAAAGTCTCTGGATGTTGTAGGACTGTCTAAGGCTGACACGTCTCTGCATAACATCGCGTGGCGATCGGGGGCAGTGCCAATGGAGTGGCAGACCGGGGTGCGTGGTCCCTCTCTACAAGAAGGGGGACCGGAGGGTGTGTTCCAATTATTCGTGGGATCACACTCCTCAGCCTCCCCGGTAAGGTCTACTCCAAGGTACTGGAGAGGAGGCCCCCCCCTCCCCCACCCCCCCCCCCACCCCCCCCCCCCCCCCCCCCCCCACCCCCCTACGGCTCCCCCCCCCCCCCCCCCCCCCCACCCCCCCCCACCCCCCGATGGACGAATCTCGGATGCCACAGGAGGAGCGTGGTGGTTTTCGTCCCAGGTCGCGGAACACCTGGACCAGCTCTATACTCTCCATCGGATACTCGAGGGTTCATGGGAGTTCCGCCCAACCTGTCCACAATGTGCTTTGTGGATTTGGAGAAGGCGTTGACTGTGTTCCCCGGGGTGTCCTTTGGGGGGTTCTCCGGGAGTACGGGGTCGGAGGTCCTCTGCTGAGGGCCATCCGATACCCTGTAATGACCGGAGCCAGAGCTGTGTTCGCATTGCCGGCAGTAAGTCAGACCTGTTCCCGTGAATGTTGGCCTCCGACAGGGGCTGCCCTTTGTCACCGGTTCTGTTCACTGTATTTATGGACAGAATATCTAGGCGCAGCCAGGGGTCGGAGGGGGTCCGGTTCGGAGACCACAGGATTTCATCTCTGCTGTTTGCGGACGATGTTGTCCTGTTGGCTCCAACGAACCAGGACCTGCAGCATGCACTGGGGCGGTTGGTTTGCAGCCGAGTGTGAAGCGCCCCTGGGGATGAGAATCAGCACCTCCAAATCCGGAGGCCATGGTGCTTGACCGGAAAAAGGTGCCTTGCCCTCTGCAGGTGGGTGGAAGAGGTCTTCCTCAAAGTGGAGGAGTTCAAGTATCTCGGGGTCTTGCTTCACGAAGTGAGGGAAGAATGGAGCGTTGAGATTGACAGGCGGATCGGTGCAGCGTGCGCAGTTGATGCGGTCGCTGTATCGGACCGTTGTGGTGAAGAGGGAGCTGAGCCGAAAGGCAAAGCTCTCGATTTACCGGTCAATCTTCGTTCCCTCCCTCACCTATGGTCATGAGCTTTGGGTAATGACCGAAAAAGAACGAGATCGCGGATACAAGCGGTCGAAATACAAGCTTCCTCCGCAGAGTGGCGGGCGCTCGCCCTTAGGAGATAGGGTGAGGAGCTCAGTCACACGGGAGGAGCTCGGAGTAGAGCCGCCTGCTTCTCCACGTCGAGAGGAACCAGTTGAGGTGGCTCGGGCATCTGTTCCGGATGCCTCCTGGACGCCTCCCTGGGGAGTGTTGTTTGGCCCCGGGCATTTGTCCCACCGGAGGAGGCCCGCGGAATACCTAGGACACGCTGGAGGGACTATGTCTCTCAGCTGGCCTGGGAACGCCTTGGGGTCCCCCCGGATGAGCTGGAGGAAGTGTGTGTGGATAGGGAAGTCTGGGCGTCTCTGCTTAGACTGCTGCCCCCGCGACCCGGCAACGGATATAAAGCGGAAGAAATGGATGGATGGATGGATGGATGTTATGTTACTTTGTAGTAGTAATGTTATTGTGACGAGATAATAGAAAATGTATTCAGCCGAAATTTTACTTATGAGCACACTGTTATGTCTTGGCATGAGTAGTGTTATCAGATGACTACCACCTTGTCATACCAGCTTTTCTCCGGGCATCTTCTCTCTCTCTGGGGCCCTTTCTCGCGTCTCAGGGGCTCCGTCGGCCCTGAGCGTGGTGGGGTGTAGCCGACGTAATATACCCCGCATCCTCGGTACATTGACCACGTAGACAGATTCGGATGTGTCCCCGTGTGCAGGCAGCCGCTCGGCCGCCCACACGTCCTCCCCTCCCTCCCCTCCCACCTCGAGCATCCGGGCCAGTGGCCAGAACGTGGCCCGTAGGGGGGACCACTGCGTATGATTGTCCTCCCCGTACAAGGGCCGATTGGGCACTCTGTATGAGGACGTAACGTAGCTGCTGGTTAGCAATGCGCGTCTGAACAATTGGGCTTGTGGATGCGACGTGTGAGAAGGGAATCGTCTGCTCACCTGCCGGGGAGAGACGGCATTAGCATTGTTGAGTGGGGTAATCAGATGGCAAATTATATTCAAGCAATTTAATAACTGTTTATATTGTTTTCCTCGAGGATTGAGAGTAAAGAGTTACATGACTTTTAAAAAAAATGTCATATTTTTTTATTGAAAACTTATATTTATTCCTGCAAATTTCTGAAGAAAAATACGGAGGTTACGGGACTCTTTCACTATTCTGTCTAAAAATCTCTACATTCAAAATAACAGGTGGGTGTGTTCTCTGTAAGCTTTTGAAGATCTAGAAGAAGCTATGACATTTTGGTTTGTAAAAATAACAATAACACGGCCCGGCTTAGCTTTTGAGAATCTGAGGGATCAATACCCTTTATGTAACAAAGAAGAAAAAGAAAAAAACTTGCCAAACTTCGCAACAGCAATGAGAAAAAAATAATTGTCCCTATGCCATTAGATCATCCATCTATCACAAATTCATAAAAGATTCAGGAAAAACAGTAGCGCCTTTTATGGAGGGGGGGCAGTAGGTAGAGTAAGTAAGTAAGGGTACTCTTTATTTATTATACCGCCTTTCACGAGACCTAGAGTCACAAAGCGGTTTACAATAGCGGACACACCTGAACTTGATGCCTACGCATGCCGTCCGCCCTGGCAGGGCTGTTGGAGAGGTTGGGAGGGATATTAGGGGTTGGGTGATCCCCTGACAGAATGAGGAGTCTGACAGTGATACAGGCCAGTGGAATCTGGAGCGGCCGGTTCTGACGAAGGGCGCTATGACAAGGTTGGGCTTCTGGACCGGGGATATGCAGGAGTCCCATCTGGAACATTGATACCTTGCTTTACGCATCTGCTCATTGGAGGAGGAGCCTGAGGAGATTGGTTGTAATAGTACCTGTCTAAAGACAAAGTTGTAGCTTGAAAAACAATGGATATTCTCTGAAAACATAATAAAAGTAGAAGAAAGGCACTAACATTAGAAAGGTTAGGTCCCACAGGTTTGCGTGGGTCTATGATGAAGGTTCCGTTCTGGCAGGGTGTTAGGAAGCACTTTTAAGGTATGGGTTCTGCAGAGCAGCTCTCAGGTTTGGTTTGTTTTGGGTTTGTTTGGATACAACAATGTAGGTGTCCATCTGAAAGTTGGTTAATAAGTTGCTACCTCGCAAGGCAGGGTTGTTGAGGGCCTACACAAAATGTTTTGAGTTAGAGGTGCAAACTCGACATCAAACCAACATTTATGGACTTTTATCAATACAATAAGGACCATGGGTCATCCAAAAAAAATCACCAGGTTGTGAGGAACCTATGGTGGATAGATAACTATGGCTACGTAGGTGGACAAACACAAGACAAAATATCTAGGCCCTCACAGACACAAGGTCCCATCGTTTATGACTATAATAGGCTCTGATTGTCTCTTGATGCCGACGGGAGGAGCCCCGGGGAGGACCCCAGGACTAGGCTGGGAGGGGGACTATGTCTCTCCGCTGGCCTGGGAACCGCCTTGGGGGTCCCCCGGACGAGCCTGGAGGAAGTGTACTGTTAGATAGGGAAGTCTGGGCGTCTCTGCCTTATGACGGCGGCCCCCGCCGTCCCGGCAACGGATATGAGCGGAAGAAATGGTTGGATGGAGTGGATGTCCTCGTGATGCGACATTCTGTTGTCTTTGTAGATACGTGTGACGTATCTGTGACGTAACAATGCCTATATTAAACCATGTCCTAACTTTGTTTCTGTCTGAAAGGACTGAAACAACTGAACCCTGACGGAAACTGTATGAAAGTTTTCCAGGCGAGCTCTGTAGTGTGCTTTCCACGGATCCCGGTCTCTGTGTGCTATCTATCCACCATAAACCTTTCAACCGTGCACTTTATGTCATATTCGCTTTGCTATCATATTGAGTTACTGAGGGGCTGATAATGCCTCCTTAAAACCGCGATCATCAGCATGAAAAGGTTATCATTAAAATATGTTCTAAAAATAAAAGTATACATTCTGTCAGGTTAGTGCACACGTTATCAGAGAGCGCTAATATTACATTATATAGTTTTTATTCAAGCTGACCAATAACAGAAACCATACGTAGCGGAAAACAAATTATTTATATTATCTCTTACACACATTTACTTCGAGGACAATAGTAACAATATATTTCTTCAACATTGCCCAAACCAGACTCACCTTAGCCCAGGTTTGGATGACACAGGACATTGGGATCCGTGACACCCCTCTGGGGAGAGCATTATGAGGCGTTGCGAAGAGCTGAGTTCTGCAGCGCGGCAGATCAAGGATGGTGTGAAAACAGGCTTCCGTAGGGTCAATGATGATGCGTTCCGTCGGGCAAGAGTGTACGAGGCTCCTCTGAAGGTAAGGGTTGTTGAGGAGCTGCCGACTGGGTTTGGGCTCTTTGGCTGGTGTGGGTCAATCTCAATTGTACCATCAGGAAGAGGAGGTAAGAAGAAGCTCTTCGCAGGGCTGGGTTACTGAGTGCTTTAGCAAGATCAGGGGAATTGGCATGCGGCTAATTACATAAAAAACTAAAGGACACATAAAAACCTCAACTGTGTAAGATTTGGATCTCATGTGGCATACTTCCTGATATTGTGACGAGTAGTTCCGCTCTTTGCTGTCTGGGTGTCGGACTATAGTGACTTCATCAGGGGTGAGAGTTGTGACTGTGGCACTTCTGTATGTGAGTGTCTCTTGATTCTGATGAATTTTTATGGTAGTCTTCGGTTTGAGTGTGTGAGAGATTAGGGTTGATGATGTTGGTCTCCGTTTTGTTGGGTCTCTTGATGTTCGTACAGAGTAGACTTAATACATTAAATAAACCTGTACGTCTAAGCAGTGCAGATCGACATCTCTCATCTTACGCGCAGTTTTGGCATGTGATGAGCAATGATATAGAGCCTCGGAGGAAGTTCTAAACAGGCATTCATATGTTTTTGACTTAGGAAATACAACTTTACGTCCACCTGAATATGTTTATTCTTGAGCTGTTATAAGAAGATCTGTATACTTGAGGCAATATGCCCGTCCTCTTTGCTACTGTATTTGCATCCTTTATGTCTGCATATTACTTTGACTGAATGAGTTGTGAATATCATATTGAGGTTAGTCGTTCCACTAACCTCTCAAGATCTTTTACATTTAAAAATAGGATTAAATTTAGTTAGACTAATTCTTTTCTGCTTTCATGGTAAATGTAAGTTCAATGTCATGTTAATTGTTCTTCACCAACTTCCGCTTTCTTGGTGTAATAACAAATCCATATAAAAAAAGGTGATTCAATTCGCCACACCTGAGTCTGTGTAAGTCCTATAAATATTATATTGTCAATAGGTCTGAGGGGGTGTACAGATGTCTCTACACAGGAAATTCTGAAATATTTTAGAACTATAATTCTAAAATATAAACAACTGTTGTCTAAACTATGACTACATTATGATGAAACTACATATTATCATAATGCAATACAGTGTTTTATATCAAAAAGAGAAAAACATCATATTTTAAAGATAACTTGCAGGTGAGCAATTGAACCCTTTTGTTACCAAAATTGGCATAAAGTCCATGGGCTCAGGTTCTCTGCCCCATTTTAACCCAGGTACTTACAATAAAATTTAAGTTTACATATCACAATGAGAGTACCTCCAAATCTAGACTATACTAAAACTCAAAATATGCTCTTACCCGTATTATTGATCCATCTGGCAGAGTAAAGGAAGCTCCTCTTAGTTGTTGATTTTGTAATGCACTACCAAGCATAGGTGAGGTCCTGGGGTCTGCATAAGGGGACATCAGTGTCCCACCTGGCAGTCTATAGGATGACTGCATCATCTGTCGGTTTTGCAAAGCTGAGCCTAACATAGGTGAGGCGGGTGCATATGGTGATCTGAATTGTATTGGTGAGTTAAAAGATGCTTGACGAAGGTGGGGGTTCTGCTGTAACGCTCTGTTTAGCTGAGGAGTAGCAGGAGCATAGGAGGTCCGTCGTTGCATCATTGGCGATCTCAGACTGGAGACACCTTGTAACCCTGACCTGTTCTGAAGGGCATCATGGAGCATTGGGGCAGGCCCAGGTTCAGTTATATCACCATATGGCCCTATCACCGTGGGTCCGTAGGGTGACTGCATGCCAGAAATTTGATAAGAAGACACTCCTCTTAATGCCTGTCCATGTCTCATGGCTCCAGAAAGCATTGGGGATGAAGGCACTGAGGCATATGGTGATATAGGCCTCTGAAGAGGAGACGCAAAAGACGCTCCTCGTATGGCCTGATTCTGTAGGGCCCCTGACAGCATAGGCGAAGATGGAGCCATAGGTTGCTGGTAAGGTGACATTGGGGAAACAAATGATGCATTCATCAGAGCCTGGTTCTGTAGGGCCCCTGAGAGCATGGGTGAAGATGGAGCCATAGGTTGCTGGTAAGGTGACATTGGGGAAACAAATGATGCATCTCTCAGAGCCTGATTCTGTAGGGCCCCTGACAGCATAGGCGAAGATGGAGCCATAGGTTGCTGGTAAGGTGACATGGGGGAAACAAATGATGCATCTCTCAGAGCCTGATTCTGTAGGGCCCCTGAGAGCATGGGTGAAGATGGAGCCATAGGTTGCTGGTAAGGTGACATTGGGGAAACAAATGATGCATCCATCAGAGCCTGGTTCTGTAGGGCCCCTGACAGCATAGGCGAAGATGGAGCCATAGGTTGCTGGTAAGGTGACATCGGGGAAGCATACGATGCATCTCTCAGAGCCTGATTCTGTAGAGCCCCTGACAGCATAGGCGAAGATGGAGCCATAGGTTGCTCATAAGGTGAACCTGGTCTTTGTAAAGGAGAAACAAAGGATGCATCATGAATCATTTGGTTTTGCATAGCACCAGAAAGCATCGGGGAAGCCGGAGCCATGTACTGCTGCATTGGATCGGAGTATGAATCTGCATACATTCCAGGCATCTGAGGTTCTGGTGCAAAAATAGGTGGGTGTGGGGACATGATAGGGGACGGGGGGTGAGAATACCTTGGTGAAAATCTTGGGGATGCTGGGTGTGACATGTGTTTAAGTGAAAGCTGCGGAGATGGAGGGGGCATACTCCTCATAGACTGTTGAGCCATTAATGGGCGCCCTCTAGCTATTGGGCGATGAGGAAGACGACCTGATTCCCTTCTAACAAATGGGCCGCGATGTATCATGGGAGGGGAGTGAAAAGGGGAGGAGTGGAGAGAGGAGTCTATGGTGAGAACAGAAGACCTGTTACTGTGAATGGAGGAGTTACGGAATGGACGTACATTTTGTGTTGGTGGGGGCACAGGGCGACCTCTGAGACCCATGGGAGATGGTCGCACTGTTCCAAGAGGTACACCCATTCTTGGCCTGGCTAATGGAGTAGGGTCCCTGAGTAAACGTGTTGAGCGGCGAGAGAGGGTAGGGGATCCCCTAGGCCGTGGTCCAGTGGGGGAGACGCTGCGATAGGTTGGGGAAGGGGAGGGAGAAAGCCTTCTGCTAAGAGTGGGTGATACAGGTGGCGATCGACGTGTCGGGGAATGTGGCCGTGCAGGGGCCTCAAATCTCCCACCTCCCAACGGGCTACGAGCAGAACTGGGTGCAGGAGGAGGACTTTGTCGCCTCATGGAAGCACGGGGTGAACCAGGCGGGGACCGGCGGCGCATAGAAGCCCTTGGTGAACCAGGAGGACTGCGACGAAGCATTGAGGTCCGTGGAGAGCGTGGGGGGGATGGGGGCCGTGCCATGGGAGGAGGTGATCTCTGAGGGGACATTCGTCGACGGGCAAGGGGAGAAGATCGTGGTGAAGGAGGTGGCGACACATGTCTCGACATCACTGAGGGTGGCCTTTGAGCACCCATGAAGCCACCTCTCATTGAAGGGTGTGGAGAAGACATCTGTCTCGGGAGTCATCATGGGGGACCCAGGCATGGCCATGGGATGTCGTTGCATCTGAGGAGAGGGCATCATCACAGAGCGCCGAGATGGTGTGGGGGAGGCCTGCATTCTGCGTGCAGGTAGAGGAGTCATGCCTGCCTGCTTGATGAGCATCGCAGAAGGAGTGGGTATTGAAGGTGGTCCGTAACCCTGATCCTGGGACATAATCATCATCTGGTCTGCCATCATTTGCTGAGAACAAAATAAGACAAAGTAATAATTTGCATGTTATGTTAAAACAGTGGACACACACCCACACACACAAGTACTCGTGATATACAGGTATATACACACACAGAGTCAATATATAAATATACAGAACACTCATTGTCATACCTGTGGTGACATCATTAGCGGTTGAGGGGACATCATCTGTTGGGGTATCATTTGTTGCTGTGGTAACATCATTTGTGGTTGGGGAGACATTGCTTGCATCATTTGGGCCGACATTCCAGGGTCTTGTAACATTGGTTGCTGCTGTGGTGACATCATTTGTGGTTGGGGAGACATTGCTTGCATCATTTGGGCTGACATTCCGGGATCTTGTAACATTGGTTGTTGCTGTGGCATCATCATTTGAGGTTGTGGCGACATAGCCGGTGAATATGTCATTGCAGACATGCCCATTAGCTGCTGCTGATCAAGCATCATTTCCTGCTGAGGTGACAGACTCTGTGGGGGCATCATCATGCTCTCTTGAGCTGCCATCATTTCTGCTTGTTGCTGTTGCTGCATCATCTGATTCTGTTGCTCCATCATCATCATCTGTTCTTGTTGAGCTAACATCATCTGATCTTGTGGAGACATCATTTGTTGCTGTGGTAGACCAATTTGGGGAACAGACAACATTCCACTAGGGACCAGACCGGGCCCAGAAGAAATGTAATCTTCATATTGTATCTCTGACATTCCTTCGAACTCAGGGTCTGGGGGGAGGGTAGGTGGTGGTGGGAGCGGTACATCCAGACGTTCTTTACCAAAAAGTCGAACTTGCGGCCTTGGAACTCGAAAAGTGATATCTCCCCCCTCCATGCCCCCCATGTTGTTCACAAATTGATCTGGTTGGTTTGCAAATTGATCTCCATAGAGGGCCTGAGTTTGGTCCATCATTCTTTGACCTGGAAATCCTAGACCCTGTCCTCCTAGCATTCCCATAGCCTGTTGAGAGCTAAAGTCTTGGTAGGGCATTCCTGGTTGGCTATAGTTTAGCTGGAAGTCAGTTGGAAGCCCCGCCTGCATTTGCATTTGTGCGTAAGGATTTTGTAGAGCGACCTGCCCTGTATCATAGTATCCAGCTTGGCCGTCCCCCACATAACCAACTTGTGTCATTTCACCTGGATAAACTTGCATCATAGGATCCATGTAGCCATCAAGCCCGCTTGCGTACATGGGATTTTCTCCCATCATGGCATAGTAGTCAAGAGCTTCATCACCATACGCACCCATCGCTTGTTGCTGATATCCGTAATAATTGGCTTCCTGTTCATAGTAATCCGCGGTGGAATCGTAGGGGTTATAATAATTGTCCATTCCATTCTCATAAACACCTCCTTCATAATATTCGGCGTTAGGATCATACTGCCCATCATCCTCATAATAACCTAAGTCCTGATAGTCAGCTCCGTCTACTCCGCCATTGTAGTAACCATATTGATCCTGATAATGACCTTGATCAGCATGATGACTTGCATGGCCTCCGTATGCAGCCGCCTCCTCTCCGTAACCTCCATAGCCATCATCATATGCAGCGTAACCATTAGGATGACCTGCATATCGTGGATCACCATAAGCTTCATCGCCATAGTCATAACCATCGTTTTGATATCCGTGCATGTGCCCTCTGCGACTTTGCCCTCTTTGGCCACCATGACCTTGCTGCCCCTTGCGGCCCCTCATTTTACTAGACAAAAAGCGATTGGTCAACCAGTTGGTAGCTGCGGCAACCCTGCCCAGCAATTTGCTTCGGTTCTTAAGACCAGCGGCATCTTTCTTCCCAAACATCCCTTTGAAAAAGCCGCTTTTCTGATCCGAGTTTCCGCCTAAACGTAGCAGCATATATGTTGGTTTGTTGCCACCATTGGCTGCAGCCTTCTCTTTGTCCTCTTTCTCTTTTTTCTTCTTTTTGCTTGCTTTGAATCGACCCATTAATCGAGAGGTATGTTTGAGCATGGACTTGCGACGTTTCTTCTTTGCTGACTTAATACGATTTTTTCTTTTCCCTAACCCAAGGAATAAGCGGGACGTACTCTTTAACTTCTTCCTGCTGGTCCTCCGCCTTTTGAAACCAGAAAATTTCATGAACATCCTGGACATGTTTTTAAGGCCTTTCTTGTGCATTTCCTTTATTGGTGCAGCAGAAATATCCTTCTTTTTCTTCTTCTTTCCATCTGCATCTTTCCCACCTTTGGCTTTCTTTTTGGATTTGTGGTCGTCCTCATCTTCATCTTCATCGTCGTCCTCATCTTCATCTTCATCCTCATCAGAGTCATCCCCTCGTCTCCTACCGCCCTTCTTTCCTTTGTCGCCCTTTCCCCCTTTGCCTTTCCTGCGCTTGTCGTCCTCTGAGTCCTCATCTTCATCACTTTCTTCTTCCTCCTCACTTAGTAGCTCCTCAGACTCCTCCTCAGATTCCACCTTCTTTCCTTTCCCTTTGTCCTTTCCTTTCTTTCCGTCATCCTTGCCTTTAGGGGGAGGCTCCTCTTTTCCCTTCTTTCCTCCTTTCTTGTCATCCTTTCCTGCCTTTTTGTCATCTTTCTTGTCGTCTTTTCCCTTCTTGTCATCTTTTCCCCCCTTTTTGTCATCTTTTCCTTTTTTCTCCTCCTCCTTCTTTTTTTCTGGTTCGGGTTTTCCTTTCTTAGCATCCTTTTTGTTGTCTTTCTTTCCAGGCATGTTGATGCGTATTCAGCGGCGCAGCATGCCCTCCTAGCTGGTTAGAAAGATGATACCTACAAACACAAACAGAAAATGTTGTTAAAAGTTGATTTTCACAGAAAAAAAAATATGCAAAAGAGTGATAGCACTCATGAACTTGACGCAAATCCAGATTTTACATTTCAACCCAGCTGAGACTTGCACCTAGAAAAGACTAGACCCGGGTGTACGTTGAAATGAAAATATGTCAAAAAAGACATAACAGTACATACATGAAATTAAGTATTTGATTACAGTGTTTATAATGTTATTTCATTGATGATTATTTCTTCTTTGAAAAGAACACTACTGATCTGTATTTTATCATTGATGTCAAATTTTTGGAAAAGGGGATTATAATATACACACTATACGCTAATATTCCATATACGTACGTCGCCTGTCTTAATTGAGAATGTTTTGTAAGTTATAATTTCCTATAATCATTCAGTTATTGAAGCTTTACCATCAAACAAGTTAATTCCGCCAAACGGCCACGATCACATTGGCAACTTCTTGATTGCTAAAAATTATTTCAAATCCTTATCATTGGATAAACTATTCACCTATAGCTAATCTTACTGGTTGTAGTTTTGGAAACTATTTCAAATATATTATAGTTGTAAAAGACTTAAGCCTAGTGTATACTTGCGCGGTGTGGCTTACGTTAGCGGTTGCGGTGGACCTACGTAAGCACAATTGATGTTATACTGGCGCGTTCCCCTTACGGAGTTTTGAGGAGAATGTTGTAATCCCACAACTAACCACATGAGGGCGATCACACAGGAGTGGTCCCATTTACGCTGCTACTTTGTCCTCTTCAGAACAACAATAGCAAACAAAGCTGTTTGAGCTCATCACACGTGTTTCTACTGTAGGTTTATGTGATAGTTTTATGGATTCATTATTTTATAAGTCATTTCAACTGTGATGCTGTGAATAAAGACACAGTTCTTGTTTGAAACATAGTTATTATTAAATAGTTTTCAGCACAAACAGCAAAACAATAATAATGGTAAATGTAGAAAATTCATTCTGTCTTCTTATGTTTATGGCTTTTAGGTTCTTCTAATAAGACAATTAAAGCAAAACAAAGCTAGTACTGCTTAAATACCTGACATGTTTCGGCGGTACACTTCCGCCTTCATCAGAGGTGACACGTGATGGTGTGACGCGTCTCTTATCAGCTGTTGTTGCCGGAAGCAGTCAGTCTGACAGATCTCACAGATCCATCAGACTGACCACGTCCCCCGCCGCGCTGTGGTCTCTGGAGAAGTGAATCCCAAGTGTGAGCCAAGGTGAAGGCCCCCTCGTCTCTGTTGATGGTCCGTGTTCCCCGCTTCCTGATTTCGATCGCCTCTCGTATCCATCTTTTGTATTTATGTTCTTCTGTTCCTATTTTGCATTGTCCCAGTCCATGATGTGATTCTCTCTTTTGCAGTGGTCTGATATTGCTGATTTGAGGTTTTCCTGTGTTGCCTTTTCCTTGGTTGCTCTTGTTAGTCGCGCTGCCGTTTCTTTTTCGCATTCCTTTTGATGTTCCTTTCTTCTGGTGCTAAAAGCTCTCCCCGTTTCCCCGATGTATGTTTTATTGCAGGTTCTACATGGTATTTCGTATATGACGTTGCACTTTTTTTCCGGTTGTATTTTGTCTTTTGGGTGAACGAGGATCTGTCTGAGCTTCTTGTGTGGTTTGATAATTGCATTGATGTTGTGTTTTCCGAGTGCTCTCTGTATCTGCTCCGTGACCCCTTGTATGTATGGTATGGTGACTATGTCTTTGTGTTCGTTGTGTTTTTGTGGTTGCTTTTTTCTCTGTTTTTGTGTGATCTGTTTGTTTAGTACCTGTTGTCTTCCTTTTTGTATTGCCCATCTGGGATATTGACAAAACTTGAGTGCTTGGATTATGTGTCCTTCTTCTTTTATCCTGTCTTCTTCCTCTGTGATGTTGTTGAGGCGTTCAAATAGTGTTCTGACAACGGATAGTTTGTGTGCAATGGGGTGTTCTGAAGTCCAGAGTAAATATTGATCAGTGTGTGTTGGTTTCCTATATACTGTTGTCTTGATGCTGCCGTCCTGTTGGTGGTGAATGTTTAAGTCCAGAAAGGGTATGCAGCCCTCCCTCTCCTCCTCATGTGTGAATTGTATGTGTCCAGTTGGGTCTATGGTGTTGAGATGGTCAGTGAGGTCCTGTGTGTGTCCTGTCTTTACTTTTTCTAAAATGTCGTCAACGTATCTTTTCCATAGGGTTGGTTTGTATTGTTGTGGTGCTGTATTGATGGCTCTCTCCTCTAAATCCTCCATGAAAAAGAAACGGCAGCGCGACTAACAAGAGCAACCAAGGAAAAGGCAACACAGGAAAACCTCAAATCAGCAATATCAGACCACTGCAAAAGAGAGAATCACATCATGGACTGGGGCAATGCAAAAATAGTAGGAACAGAAGAACATAAATACAAAAGATGGATACGAGAGGCGATCGAAATCAGGAAGCGGGGAACACGGACCATCAACAGAGACGAGGGGGCCTTCACCTTGGCTCACACTTGGGATTCACTTCTCCAGAGACCACAGCGCGGCGGGGGACGCGGTCAGTCTGATGGATCTGTGAGATCTGTCAGACTGACTGCTTCCGGCAACAACAGCTGATAAGAGACGCGTCACACCATCACGTGTCACCTCTGATGAAGGCGGAAGTGTACCGCCGAAACATGTCAGGTATTTAAGCAGTACTAGCTTTGTTTTGCTTTAATTGTCTTATTAGAAGAACCTAAAAGCCAATAATAATGGTAAATATCTGAGACAAACATGAACGATTTACGAGTGCAGGAGGAAAGCAACAAACGCAGCTACGATTCAAACAAGACAGGAACAGTGCAAAACAAACGACTGCACAGTTTATAAGTTATATATATATGTTAGATAGTCCACAGTCTCCTGTATATCAGGCTCTGAGCCCAAACTGCTTTTCCTTCGAAGCGTGAAGCAGTCTGCCCCATAGTGCCTCGTCCATGTCCCTGCTGCAGCCGCTCCGTGCTTCCTTCCAATACACACACACGGACCAATCACAGCGGAGCTTCCTTGCGGCGACCCTTACGTAGTTAGAAAATTTCGATGCTGCGCGGCAGGCGACGTAAGGGCCTTGCGGTGACCAACACGTTGCGCAAGTGACGTCACGTCACCTCCGTAAGCTCCGCGCCGCGCGAGTATAAACTAGGCTTTACTGCCCCAAGGTTGCTGACCTCACCATTCAATAAAAATAGAGACTTATTAAGAACATGCTTAATTTATAACAACTACTTATAGCATACCTGTAACAAATAAAGTTTTGTTATGCCTCTTTGTTTCTACGTGGGCACCGGCATGTAGGTGTATGAGGACAGCACCACGTGGCCAAAGCAAAACCGCTCTGTCCAAATCTGGTCCCCATGAAGACTCCTGCAAACATACACACCGGAGATATTTTTCCAAGACGGAAGTTAAACATTTTTAGCTCATAAGTCAATTATCCCAAACCTCTCACAGGGTATTACATGTCTTTGAATGGAAAGAGATGTATTCTCAGTACATTGCTGCATTCAGAAATACCTACGTAAGTGAGTAGTGACAAGCAATGTGGCAGTTTTATTTGCTTTTTACATATTATGTGTTTGTGTTGATCCTGATGATTTTAAAGTTTTGTTTAGTTGAATACATTATTTGTTATTTCTGTTGAATAACACATTTAGACTAATTTCTTTACAAAAAAGTAGCTGTTACTTACTTAGAAAAATACAATTCTCAGTCCCTTTGTGTTTTTATTCGAGACTAAGATGTATGTACGAGATTCAACCATACAAGTGCATTTATCCTGATAATGCTAAGGTTTTGTTTGGTTGAACACTAAATACATTATTTGTTATTTCTGTTGAATAACACATTTAGACTATTAGTGTTAGGTTTTTTTTAATAGTCAGGGAACACACTTTAATTCTCAGTTCCTTTTATGTTTTTATTTGAGGCTAAGAAACAATTTAAAAGTGATTCGGCCATACCAGTGAATTGTACGCAAAGTTTAAGTGACTAGACTTCCTTCCTTCTCTGCAAGATTTTTGAGAGCTGAGATGACTAAATGTGTGGGTTTTAGAACACAGAGGTCTTTAGAAAGGAATATGTGAAAGAAAAGTGAGGTTGTTGATTCCACAACCACCTTCTAGATAATTATAATATACACACACTTTAGGCTCTCAGGCCAAGACACTGCTCTGTATGCTAATTCAGTTTCCATCTCAAATGAATATACAGTGATTATGGAACGCTGTCCAAAACAATTAAGTGGAACAGCTACACCTGTCCTAATGTTACCCTGATACCCAGATAGAGATACATTTCCTGGTTTTGAATTAATTAAAAACCTAGAAGTAAATTTAAACCTTGTGCTATAAGGAAAATAGACAGCTGATAACACTGGCTTCACAAGGCTGACTGGCAAATGGAAATTAATCAGGAGGACTTGTATGTATCATGAACAAAATTAAAATATGATGGAGGAAAACAAAAATTCGAGCACTCTCACAAATGAACCATGCATTTTCTTTTTGGCAAAAATATGTACGGCAATGCTCGTTGTAATCAATAACAATAACAATCTTGGAGATAAGCAAATATATTCAAACTGTCAACATTTTATTTTGGCAATATATTCTACCTAACATTTACTAACTCAATTGCAGTGAAATTATTAGAACAATATCTTATCAAACTATTTAAAAAAAATCCTACATACTGATGCATGGACAAGCCAAAATGTGCCCTTACCTTTAAAGCTATCTCTTCAAGCAATGTCACTGCATAAAACTATAACAAAAGTTTTCCCATCTCCAAAAATTGAAAATAAGAATAGATTCAAATAGTCCTCAAGAGTTCCTATAGTGGTAGCTGTCATCCAAAGAAACCGGGGTCCAGACAGGTCCTGCAAGAGTATTCTTGTCACTCTACGC